TACCCTAATTATATTAGTGATAAACACTTCTATAAGTTTCGGAAGACTAGACTAATTATATATTTTAATCTTTTTTCTACTTATTATTACTATATATTACTAATTATTACTAGTAAAGGCTATTACTCGATATATATTGTACTACCCCTTTTGTAACTATTCGCTATATATTTTCTATTTATCGATACTACTTATTATAACTAGTAGCTAATAGTGTCTACTAGTGGTAATAGATCCGGAAAGTACTTTAAGTGGTTCTATTCTAGTGGTACTATTAGAAAGTATATTAAGGAGAGCCACTATATAAGTTTATACTATTTACTACTACCTATTCCTAGTAATTACTAATAGTTACTAGGGAAATAAAGTATATACTAGTATATATATACTAAGCGACTAGGTAATAACTAAGGAAGGTATTTTGTAAGTTATACCTATTTTCTTACTAGCTTTTACTATTAGTTACTAACAATTACTAGTAACCCTATCGAGACCCCTAGTAATAAAGACTCGGACGTCGATATAACTAAGAGTAGTGATAACGAGGAGCTAGTCAAAGTTACTGGTAACAATAAGGAGACTACCCCCCTATATCTACCCCCTCTAAGCCCACTAATACTACTTATCCTTCTACTAGTAAAGCCCGTGGCCCTACTAGTAATACCTATTGGGCTAGTGGTAATACCTATCGGGCTACTAGTAATACCTATACTACTACTTCCGCTATAGAAAAGGAGCTAGAGAAGTAAGTATAATCTATCTATCTATTATTATATTAAATTACTACTAATTACTAGTAGCCCCTACTTATTCTATTGTATAGTAAAATATATAGAGTGTGACCCTACCTATATCTTACGTTATATATAAGTGTTACCTATAATAAACAACTACTACTAGTTATAACTAGTAATACTAATATATTATAGGAATCGTTCTACAGAATAATTATTCCTACCCTACTCTTCCGGCGATTACTAGTTTTTACTAGTATTTAATTTCCTACTAATAGTGGTTTCTTTTCTTAAGGTTATCTTTAGGCTAGAGTTCATAGTTATCCTATAACTTTCTGATATACTTTGTAATTACTAGTATAGTTTAAGCCTAATTATCACTACTAATAATTAGTTACTACTAGTAATCTAGGCGTAAACTAATAAACTAAGAGTTTAGAAGCTATTACACTAATTATATCTAGTTATTACTAGTAATATCTAGTTTAATACGGTATTCTTATTCTAATATCTTACCTTTTCCACTATTTTACCTTTAGGTGTAGAGATAAGCTATTTACTAGTATAATTTACGCTTAATTCTGATCCTAACCACTAGTTACTACTAGTAATTACTACTAACAAATATAACTCCTTCCCTTAATTTATTAGTAGGAACTTTCTAGGAGCTCTTAGTAATATTTAAGTTACACTATATTTCAAATATAGTGTCCTAACTAGTAATTATTAGTAATAATAAATTATCTATATTAACCTCCTATATATTATTCCTATATTATATAGAACCCACCGGACGATAACTTCTATCGAGATATTACTAGTAATTACTAAAAATTAAATACCGATTGTGTATTAAATTTACCCTAAAATTTTTAGTTACTACTAGTTATATCTAGTAGCTATTAGAAAACCCCCTATATAATACGTATTAATATATTAAGACTATTAGGTAAGTGATAAAATATATAAAAGTTATTATTAGGCACTTTTTACTAGTAGCTCCTAGTCTACTAGTAAATACTTCACTCTTTCTAGTAGACTTAACCTGATAACCTAACAGCTTTTGGGGCTGTAATTTATTTCATTAAACCTATATTAGTCGCGACTAGTAGCTCCGACCTCCTACCAGTAGCAACCGGCCTACTGGGAGCTACTAGTATGAAAAACCCACCTGACAACCTGACAACCTGACAACCTGACGACTACCGCGCCGGCCCAATAGGCCCCAAACAATGTAAATATACCAAGTTGAACCCCCCAAAAGGGTTTTTGGAATTACCCTTCGTTTTACCCCCGTTTCTAACCCTTATTCTAAATGTAATATTTTAATATTTTAGACTGTTTAGAATCAATTACTAGTTATCTCTCTATATCAAATTTAAAAACGCGAGAAAGCGCGTAATTTAGATAATTTATAAATTACAGAAGTTCACGTAGAAAGTAGTAGTATTCCTGTACAAACCTAAAATATATATCTCACCAAAACATTGATATTAGCCTATTTTCGGAGTATCTCGACCTTTACTAGTTGGATTTAACTCAAAGTTTTCTAGAATATATACTTATATAGCTAGTATAACTCTGAATTCTGAATTTGAACTCTATAGACCTAGTGGAAGGTCGTAACACAGCGATTATAGAGGCCGATAAGATAGGGTTTCACCCCGGGCCCATAGCCCACTGCGGGTTGGGCTTTGGGCCTAGGGTGGGGGCCCATTTGTGGGCTTTGCGGAAGTCTAGCTATGGAGGATCGACGAGGTTGCTCGCCACAGAGAAAAAATGTATATTGGTATCCATGGGGGGAGAGAAAAAAGCACCTTGATGGGGCAGGTGTTCCGCAGGTATTCAGACACCCAGCAGGTGCTCGTCCGCATCTTCAATGACTCAGCGTCTTGCCTTCTTTCTTTCTCCCCTTGGCTACACCGACATGAGTGTGAGACCGTGGCACATTGGGGAGGCAACCATTACAATAAGCATGATCAGACGCTAATTTACATAGAAGATATAATGAAGTTTTCGCATGTTCTGCCACGACCCAGGAATCGTTACGGTCGAAAGTCAGTTCTGTCAGTCAGTGACACCCGCTGAACTAGAAGAAAAAGAAACATTTGCTTAATCCTCTGCACATTGTTTAATCTTTGAATACATTATATGATGATGCTATCGTGCGGGTGTCATGCTGCTGGTTATCGATATGATCCATGATTTGTCTCGTATCATCCAGGATTGTTTCCACGGTCATCTGCTGCTTCTATATTCGCTGCATCGTCGAATTCTGCTGCTGAATATGTATTAAGGTATATAATAGGCCATAATTCTTTTCTCCCGGCAATCGGGGACGCGTTCGCGCCTTCTCACCCTCTACCATTTTGGAGTCTTTGAGCTTCGCATTACACCGAGACACCAAATAAGATAATTATATTAAAATGACCGAAGCTGCAATAAAGGCCGACTATCCTTTATAGCACGGCATGACATCGGATTTGACTTGGTGTTGCAATCCAGGTCTAGACGTGTATGTAGAACCAAAGCAATCAACATGCGGCTGAATTTAAGCATGAAATTAAAAAGCACCAGTGAGGCTACATGCCAACGTTGGCTTTGAAAAATTTAGAGCGCAATTTTATAGAATAGGCCGGATGCTAACACGGTAATTCATGTATTGATTGACTAATTGACTGATGAGAACTTCAAATTTTCAAGCAGAATCGGATAAAAGAGTCTTGCCTTGATGCTTGGCGCATAGCATGTATATTACTATCGACCTTGTGAAAGCTAGGTCGAGGCTCGATAGGAAGGCAGGGGATCTTCTCGCTATTTGCTTGAATTTATTTCTCGTCCTCAGTAGAGATTTCCAGACCCGAATTGCATTTGGATTCAATATCAAATTTGCCTAAGCTTGATCCGACATTCAAATTAGCACAGAAACATTCGAATTTATTGAACACTAATTCGAAATGGCAAATATGTTCGAGGACGCCCGTCGCCGACGCCGAGAGGCAAACTGTGTCATCAGCTGTCATCAGCAGGTGAGGTCACTGGTAGTCGGACATCGAAGGAGAAGGCCATAGAGTCAGTATCTCGAAATGAGGTTCAAAAGTCAAATATAGCGCTTTCGTCTCCACGTCCCCGAGGTGCACTCACCCATCCTATATGCTGGAAGAGGTTTGCAGCTTGTCATCACATAAAGCGACCAAGAAAGCACCGCAAGGGTCCGATTCAGTTACATTTAAATAGAATCATTGATTTTTAGTAAAGGGAAAGATTTCCTTAGATTGGTCTAGCGGAACGTGGGGTCGCTTGGATGTGTCGGAAACGTCGAGTGCAGTGTCTTGGACTGACATGAGACAATCGACCAAGGCCACTAGCGCATTGTATCCCGTATCAGCTGTATGCAGGCAATCTTACTAGTTTTGGTAGGAAAGAAGTATGCTGACCCCCCTCCCCCCCCCGGGTTCATTTTGTGAACCCTGCAGTAGACATAATTCTTATACCTTCATCCCTGTCGCATTGAATTGTATCTAACTAAATTACATCCAATAAAATAGGTTCTTATTTTTTGATAGCCCGAATTCTTTGAAATCCAGAGAAACAGAAATTGAAACAAATATTAGTAAGGCCTTCCTAGTGCCCAGTGACCTACCAAGCCACTAGCTCACCGTCGCAATAATCTCACGTGTGATTGGACCTGCGTCCGCGAGAGAGGCTCCCCGCAAAAGGCAAGCAGCTCGTGCCTGAACTAGTTTCAAGTCTCGGAAGACCGTATCTGCCCCATTCATCTACCTTGATCTCCTTAGCAATTGTATCCCTCTCACGACCCAAAGCCCTATGAAGATTAGACGCAAGCCCGTCCTAGTGAGCAACGGCATTGGAAATGTAACCCTGTGTGGGCTAGCCGCTCAAAAGCTGACTCCTCCTGCATGCCCTGCAGGATGTCTTCAAACTGTAACATAGCCCACTCACTCCACCCAATAACACTCAGTCGGGCTCTGCTTCTTCTACTCAACTACTACCTAGTACAGAAATAGCCTCTATAGTAGCATACCTAAGATCGTAGCTGCTCCGGCTGAAGTCCACATTAGGGAAAGGCTACCAAAATCTCAGACACTGCTAAGACTAGTCCAATGAACTTGACCAGCACATCGGCATCTTTTGCTCAATTTATTCCCTATAGGCGAAGGCCTAGGAAGATCAATGTGGTTATAAAATCCATCAATCCGCTGCAAAATAGCTACCTCAACTATCCACTCGCCATCTCCCATCAAGATGTTTAGCAAACTCTCCTCGGCAGCACTGCTGGCCCTCGGCTTGACAGCCCAGGCCACCCAGATCTTCAGCAACACCGGCACAACCTCCGGCTGGGACGCCACCAACCATGAGCACTCCGGCACCGTCCAACAGGTCACGAACGTAGTCTACGAAGGCCCAACCGCCCTGAAAATGACCCAAGTCTACGACTCCAGCTATACAGGCCGCTACCACTCGGAAGTCGTCAAAAAGAACGTATACAAGCGGGGTGACACGGGCTTCTACGGCTTCACCTTCCGCCTCCAAGAAAATTGGCAATTTTCCCCCGCACAATCATACAACATCGCCCAATTCATCGCCGACTTCAGCGATACTGGTTGTGACGATTACATGCCCTCAAGCATGGTGTGGCTTGTCGGTGACCAGCTCTACACGCGTGTCAAGCAGGGCAGTATCTGCTCGCAGAAGACTGTGACTTTCCCAAGCCTGGCGACTGTGAGTGCGGGCGTCTGGCATAAGATCGTGATCCAGGCTACATGGAAGTCGGATGGTACTGGCCAATATAAGTTGTGGTTGGATGGAAATAAGCTGTTGGATAAGAGGGACATTGCGACTACCATTGATGATGATCGGGCGTTCCAGTTCCGTGTCGGCCTTTATGCTAATGGCTGGCATGATGATAAGGGAATGAAGGGTACACAGGGTACTAGGCAGATTTGGTATGATGAGATTGCGGCTGGAACTGTGTTTGCCGATGCGGATCCTGATCAATGGTGATTGTCTCGCGTGGGCAGGGGATAGTGATCTCTGTTTTTTCTCGTTGATGTTGTCCATTGGGAGACTCTGTGTACAAGGGACGGTGAAAACGGTATCAATGTTTGATTATCCCGAATACAATCTCGCACTTCTGTCAACTTGCACTCCAGTACAAGGGAAAAAAGAGTAAAATCCTACCATTCCCATTTACCCTGACATTAGGCTGAGATAAATAGCCCAGACAACCCCAAAAAGATTGCCAACCAGCAATCTCTGGCCAGCAGGTACCACCGTGAAATTAAGGATAGACACAAGCGGCCAGAGCTTCCATCCAGCAATCATGATAGACCAAAAGTCCTATGAGATTGATATTAGCACTAGGAAATGACGCCCAACAGCGGATCCTGAATCCTTCGACCCGCAATGCCTCCTCTACCCCTTTTGGGCGGAGAAGCATTGGGGGCCAAAATCCGCCGAGGTCTATGGTAATCATGATTGACATACTGCTTGAATCTGTCCAGTGATTGTATCGTAATCCAATCCCCGTAACATTCCCATTGTTACAATGAAAAGAACGGTGTTCCAAGCACCGCCGATCGCCTGATCAATGACGATTTTTGCCACTGTATTGGTGACATTCAAACTGGGCTTCGAGATACGTTTCTCATTGTTGTTCTTCTCATCCCCCTTGTTGTCTGTTTTGGTGTTCTTCGAATCGGGCGCACGGCCGGGAAACCAGGATTCCAGAGTTCCGAGCCATAGGTAGCTCAGGGGTGAGGTGATGAACGCACACGTTGTGAATTGCATTAAAGACTCAATGTCTAAGTTGAAAGAGTCAAGTTAGTTGATCTGGCTTGATCCGACTGATCAAGCATGAGCCATGTTGATCTGGCTTCACCCCTGGGAGATGCCAAATAAGTCTTCCCCGGGCGTCACGACTCGAACAGTCTAACCATTTGAAGAAAAAAAAGAGAATCAAACAAGAAGAAAATCAAACTTACATCGGCTCGATACGCCTTGATCCCCTGGGCTAGCACGTTGGACCCCGCATTGATGAGCGCAGCCTGCAATGTAGCCTTTGCAATCGGCGGGACAGCCATGATCTGATTTTTTGCTCAATGAAATTGATCCTGAGATGCGAAAAGCGAGTAAATCAGCTCTGTCAACTACAGCAAGGGTTTAACAGATCGCGCGGTGTCGTATCCCGGATGTCAGACCACGGCGCAATTCCCTCGGGGTCTTTAGAGTGGGTCCAAGTGGACTAACCCACGAACGTCTGGTGCCGATGCTAATTATTATTTATCGATGAAATAGACATAAAGGGGGTAAGTAAATAGGGCGGCAAAGTGTACTACTCCGAGATAAATTTAAAAAATAAAAACATACAACAGCATTTCTATGGTGGTGTTCACCTAGCGCCCACGGTTCGGGTGAAAGCGGCACGCCGCCCTATTCAGCCCTCTTCAGGGCTGTCCGGCCGGCCAGCGAAATACAGCTTTCCGCCTTTTAAGCAAAGCGCAGTAAGCGACTACCATCCCCTCGCTCTTCCCTTTTTCTCCCCACCGCATCTGACTCACCCTGAGGCAAATACTTGCTGAGTATGAGATCCAAGGTCGAACTACGCAGGATTTGTCGTGGATCTCACGGAGCACTACAGCGATGAAATCAAATGGGAGATTCTTCCACTGAAGGAGAGGTATTACCATCGCACCCTGGTTCTCTTTGATAAGTTAGTAGCACGTGGCAGCTACTAAGAGAATTTACACTCTTACCACTCTCAGACTTACCATCAATGAGGTTTGATTCGCTATATGTTCCCTTTGAATTGCAAAGTTTGATTTGCAAAGGGGAAAAGCTCATATGGTATCAGTATATTAAGGGAGAATTGAAGAGGAAGATAGGTCGTTCAACCAAAGAGGTGAACAAACATGGCGTAGCGCAGAAGTAACTAGCCATATTGATGTGTATAAATATTAAAATTGGTGTACAATTATCAACAGTCTAAATAAAATTCATTTTTGAACCAATTTTCCTTGCCTTTATGTCAGTCAATATATGGTTTTGACATAGCTTCCAGCACGCGTTTTAATTTTTGAAACCTCTCAAGAATGTAACAAAAAAGGAGAGATGCCACGCAGCTTCCAGCAATCAAATGCGAGAAGAGCCGTCTTTTCCTCATTCATTTGCTCCCATGTGGGTAGGAGAGGACCATGAGATCACATCTTCAGACCTGGTTGTTCTATATTTTTGCAATGCATCGTGAATCGCACAAGCAACATCGTTGCGTAGCCATTGACAATCAGTTGCTTGTTCAATCAAGTCCTTTGAGAATTGTGGGCTGGTTTCAGCAGCTGCGTTATCACCCACTTTCTAAAGAATTCCAATAACATGAGAAAAGCCGGCTGTTTGAAAAGCACTTGCGATATGTATTACCTCACCTATGAGCTCTGGCGAAGAGTTTCCAGCTGTTGAGCATGCAGAAAGATAGGCAATTTGGGCCTTTTCATGATCTAAGGCCGCTAGATCACGGACAGCGAGGGAAGAAACCTCAGTGGAGTTCTTGCGGAATGAGAGCCACAGAGCGCTGTTTGAGGGATCAATCACATTTGAGTGGCCATAGCATAAGAAGTGAACTATGTCATGCTACAAAAGTTCTTCCAAAACTATTTCAGTATTGGCTCATCACGTATGTTGGGGCTTGTGTTGTTTTCATATCCATAGAACCTGGCTTTAACTTTTAAGTTGGACATCTGAACGTTCTAAGAGAGCCGGACTTCATCTAAACGTACGATCAGGGCGTGTTTATACGCTCGGAAAGCCAGGAATCTGGTTTGACAATATTTGTGGCAATTCTGAAGTACGGGACTGGTTGCAGCGTCGGTTAGAAGATAGTCATGAGGTTCACTTGGTTGTCGGGCTCTATACCTTGTTTGATGCCGTAATTGCAGAGGGCTTAGCATTGACTTCAGAAAATGGTGGTAATTCTTTCGATCCCTTGAGATGCAATATCGAGCGTCCCGTGTTCCCTTTTATCAATCCTGGAATTTCTGTAAATGTGAGGCATGGCTATTTGAGATGAAATCGCTGTACAGCTCTGGTAGGGCAGATTTTTGGCATTTGAACGAAGAAATTGGACTTTTCCATTTTGAGAGAACAAAGACGTGCAGAATGCCCGTCTGGAAAAGAATAAGTATTGTGTAATATCTTCCGACAACAGAGGCTCCGATGACGACTTCTCCGAGATTGTGGAGGTGTCGCTCGGCTGTTTGAGCGACAATGATGAAGACATGGGACAAGACTTTGAAGGGTTCAAGGATGATGATACACGGTTTTACATTTCCAGTCATTGGGGTCATAAGGCCAGTGTGTATAATTAGGCATTAGAAACTGTTTCTACATTCGTCACTCTTAAAAGGTTGGTCTTGTTATTGTGATACAAAAGTCGCGAAATGTACGTTACGGAATAGCTGTCGTTTAATTCATCAATATCCTCGCTAGATCTAGACATGTAATGTGATCAAGGGTGAATTATAAGGTCCTGAATGCGAACACATAGGCGAAAACCATATCGTAGCAAGGGAAAGACACGTTAGCCCTATGAGTATCTGTGGGCTTATTAGTAACAGAATAAAAAGTTCGACAGGATTCGAGCGAGGACCGAGCTAAAAAGTCCCGTACGGCGGCAAGGGAACTCTCTCCACGCGGATGAAAGACTGGAAGAGGAAAATAAACATACAACAGCTTGTCTTGGGTTGTGATCATCTAGCGCCCACGAATCGGGTGTGGGCACTGGCGACTCGCTCCTCTATTCAGTCCTCTTTAGAATAGTCCAGGCATATGTTCACACACCTGATTATGATTCAGGTGAAGACTTAGCCACTTCTGATGGCATTTAGAACGCCGGATGAGCGTATTATCTTTGGTGTAGCTAAGACCCTGTACGGCCAGGCCAATGCGTTAACGCCCATGGAAAACCGTGGTCCGGACGATAAAATAATTTTGAAACTCCAATTGTAAAGGCTTGATTACATCTCATCCCGAATACGTAATTCTGGACAAAATAGCCCCGGCAGCCTTGCACACTAGCTCGGTGGCCTCGAAATCTGCTTTTGTCTAGTCAAGAAGATGGTCATCATTGCCCCTCCACTCCGCTAAATATAGCTAGTCAAGTAGCAATTTTTGGAAGACATAACTAATATCCGCGGTCAGACTTTACGTCCGAGAACCATGCGCGGAGCGTTCCGAGACTGTGGAATATATCCGTTTCGATCCTAATATTATTCTTGATTCACTTCGGGCTGAATTAAGTGACGAAAAGTGTTGGATGCCATAGGCATCCAGGCATATAGATCAAACATGTTTGATATGCCATCATGTTTGGTAGTATAAATAGGATCTCAGTATCCTATTCATACTTGCTTTCTCTTCTTCTCTCTCTCTCAGTCTTGCTTCTAGATAGAGAATATCATTATTATCTTCTCTGTCATCAGGTTATAAGCGTCTTTTCATACTAGTTTAAAGACCCCTAGCACTCTTCTTAGACTTCGGCAGAACCCATTTTGGGTCGGAACCTCCGACCCAAAACCCAATGGGTTAAACCTAATAACCCAATAATAACCTATTTGAACCCATTTTTGCATAATATATAGGTCTTAGCGTTTATAACAATACTAAGTCATTTAAATAAATTACTATTTTATACAACTATTCTAGTTTGTTTATCCACTATTACTCTATTATCACAATATTAAGTGGCAAAATTTATATAATTACCCTAAGTTTAAAGCTAATAAACTTTATATTATATTAATTACCGATAAAAACTTATATTAACTATAGTATAGTGGTATTGTAAGCATACTAGTAATTGTAAGATATATTATGGTGTGTGAGGATAAGATATATATTTTACCGGTAGTATCTAAGAGAACCTTAGATATATTATTTACGGTAAACTATATTATGACTCACAATATATCGCCATAAATCTAGGATATTATAATGAAGTCATTCTATTATTAATGACTTTCTATGATATTCTATACTGCTTAAGCTTGCCTATATAAGGAATGAAGGATTCCTAGCTAGAAAAACAATGTATATAACTTTTCTTATCTCTCACCTATTATTATTCACTTAAGCTAAGGATAAACCTCTCTATATCTTATATGATACAATAACGTATTTCACAAGCGAGTGGGCCACACAAGCGAGTGGGCCACCCCATCCAAAACGCGTCCATGAATTAGCACTTAGTCAATTTAACCACCCACTATGCCACCAATTCGCTCTCAATCCTCTATAAATTCAATAGAGCAAGAGGGTAGGCTTTTATTAGCTATCCAGGCTTTTAAAAATCGAGAAATTACCACTATTCGTGAAGTGGCACGCCGATTTAAAGTCCCTCGCTCTACGTTACAACGCCGCCTCGCTGGCAATACCTTTCGTCCTAAAACACGCGCCAACAACCATAAATTGACTGAAACTAAGGAGGAATCTCTTAAAAAATGGATTCTCTCTATAGATTCTCGTGGAGTAGCCCCCCGGCCCTCTACTGTACGAGAAATAGTAGATCTTCTCCTCGAAAAGCGTGGAACTACCCTAGTTCTTTCGATCGGCGAAAATTGGGTTACAAACTTCGTGAAAAGATGTCCTTTTCTCTCCTCCCGATTCTTAAAACGATATAACTACGAGCGTGCGAAATATAAAGACCCTAAAATCATTAGGGAGTGGTTTAATTTAGTTTAAAAGACAATTCTTCAATTTGGAATCGATCCTAACGATATTTATAACTTCGATAAGACTGGTTTCGTAATAGGAATAACTATAACTGCAAAGGTTATTATAAGGAGTGAATATTATGGTCGGCGTTCACTTTTACAACCTAGAAATCGAGAGTGGGTAACTACTATTAAGTGTATAAATACTTCGGGCTGGGCCCTTCCTCTGTGTATGATTTTTAAAGGTAAAGTCTTTATTAAATTATAGTTCGACGGCCTTCTAGGGGATTAGCGCTTCGAAGTTAGTCCTAACGGCTGGACCTCTGATAAAATTGGACTTCGTTGGCTAGAAAAGCTCTTTATTCCGAGTACTTCTTTAT